GCTCATGATCACATACGAAGGTACGCCTCAAGTTCGTGAATCAAAAATTGATTTACTAACCCATGAATATGAGTTATTTGCTATGAAAGACAACGAACTTGTGGAGGACATGTTTGGAAGATTTTCAAACATCGTCAACGACCTTAATATGCTTGGAAAGACGCTCACCGACAAGGAGTTAGTGAGGAAAATCCTGCGAAGTCTTACCAAGGAATGGGAGTCAAAGGTAAACTCCATTTACGAAGGCCGGGATTATAAAGTCATATCCTTACATTGATTTCTACCTATATTCTACGCTAGTTTTAGTGTTTCGACTTCATTCTTGAGTACCGAATCTTAATGGATTCTTGTTTTCCTGAAACACTTAAACAAACGTTAAGCTCTTATATTGTTTGTTAACATCAAAACATGAGGCTTAGCAAACCAAGGCTAACAATCTCCCCATTTTTGATGTTGACAAACAATATACTTCAAAGCGAGTTAGGCGAGAGTATAAAAATGAAGAAAGCAAGCTCCCCCTAATAATAAGCATATTTAAAATACTCACTTTGAACTTTTTCTTGTGTTTATTAAAAGTATAAATTTGATGCAAATAGTTTCACAAGAATGCACTCAAGTCAAGTTGCATATGCACCACTTTGAAGTATACATCTTCTCCCCCTTCTGTCAAAATCAAAAAGGGTATTTTGAAAATTTTAACTATGTATAACTTCTTGAAACCCTCCCCCTATCAAAATTTTTTAGGATAAATGATAGTTTTGAGATCATTGGGAAAAGGTGCATTTACAACGAAACTCCCTCTAAAAATGAATACTCCCCCTAAAATGATGCACGTTTAAAAACTTTAATATTTTTAGGGGTTTTTAGGGATTTTTTTTAAAACATGATTTAAAGATGAATTTAAAAAAAAAATTATTTAATCATGCAAACCAAGGCTAAAGCAAATAAAAGCACGTATGAGATAAAGTTTTATTTTTGAAAATAATTAAAACAAAACAAAATATCTTATCCCAATAAGTAAGAAGAATTTACCTTGGTTTATGCCGCTCTTTTTTCGGCTTTGAATATACTTCTTTCCTCTTCACATACTTCTTCCATTTGAGGAAATTCGTATATTTCATTCTCATCGCCTTCTCTTCATCTTCCTCGTCATTTGACTCTTCCGAGGAGCTTGAGTCATTTGAATCACTTGACTCGCTTGATTCTTCACTTGACGAGTCTTTGGAAGCTTTGAAGGCGTTGGTAAGCTTGGGATTTTCACGCATTTCTTCCTCTTTGATCTTTCTCAACAAAAGTTCGTGAGAATAC